ATAAAATCTTTAAAATTCCCCCCAAAATACAGATGGCTTCCATTTTCTATGTTAAGTAGTGGGTATACATATCTTTCAAGCTTTATCTTCTATAAAATTTCACACTCCCCTCTATTTTCTAGTTATACCAGACTTCTATCAATTCTTCCAACATATTTAGTTTTTTCTTGCCTTGGGACTGTCACACCTCCAGGTTCTTTTCTCTGGAATGCCTTCTTCCTTGCACCCAAACTCATTCATTTGAGCCTTTGCTAGACTTGATTTATTCCCTCATGTGTACTCCCAGCAATTCATGATTGCCTTTTTAAATATAAATTGCATTTATAACTTCTTGTACAATGTCTTTCTTCTCTACAAGACTGGAATCTCCATGAAAGTATGCCCCATTTTAGTCTTGTTTACTTCTCTGTCTCTAGCTTCTAACACTATGCTCAGTATAATAAGCTCTCAGTGCATATTTATTGAATTGAAATGAATTGGTTCCTCCTCACACACCCGGAACTGACTTACTTCTCCCCATTTATCCAAATTATACCTTTCAAAGCCCAGAACCAGTACCCATGTCTCCATTCAGAAGACTCTCTTGGCTTCAGCTCAGTTATTTATATATATATATATATATATATATATATATATATATATATATATATATATATATATATATATGTTGATTTTCTAGATCCAGCTAAAAAAGACTTTAATCTTCCTGAAGGTCAGGGTCACATCTTAAGTTTCCAGGGTAGCCTACCTGCCCCTCATACCCAGGTATTGCTTCTTGATTACTTCTGCTTCTGTTACTTGCTGACCTTTATTGCCTATTTCATTCCTTCTCTAAGTGTTACTGATTCTTTTGCCACAGTGTCGCTTCCAAATTTCATCCTATTTCCTGATTCCATGGCAATCGCTCATAAATAGCTAGGTCTTTAAGCATCTATAGTAGCCTTGCACCCAGTTTAACTGCTCCCAGTCTTACTCTTTCAGTTAATACTTGTAAACTGGTCTATATTTTGACTTATAAAAAACGTGCCCTGTCTTATGTAACTCATCCAAAACCTGCTTGAAATTATGTGTGGGTATAAATATGTGAATAAATCCTATATTGATTTATTGAAATTCTTAATCATTTTATCATCACATTCCTGCTCAAGATACTACAGCTTTCTATTGAATCAAATTTTAAAACTGTACCTGGTTCTATTACTTCCTCTCCCATCATTTTTATCATTCTCTCAAGAGGAAACTCTTACTTTCCTCCACTGAAAAATTAACCCATTAATATTTTCCATTTTATTTCCAGCAATAGTATGATCTTTAAAAAGAACTGAAGCCTTTGCCTCCAAGCCACAGTATAATAGGACATTGTGGAAGGACATTGTATGGCTATCCTCTAAAATCTTTTCTCCTCATATACTATAGTGTGCTCAGTATATGGCTGCTCAACTATACTATCAGCTTCCTTGTGGTGAGGTTGTCTATATGACCAAGTTCTTTCCAATGGAATTTTGGCAGATGTGATACGTGCTTGCTCATAAAACCCACCCGCTTTTACTCTTTTCTACTTTTGTGTACTGGAATGACCACTGTGATAACCCAAGCATCTGTAAAGGCCACATGTTGAAGACAGAAGTTCCTTCATTAGCCTGGGTCCCTAAATGTTTCATAGAGCAAGCCCTCATCCCACCACCACTAGCCAGCTTGGAACTTATACATTGGACTGTTACATGAAAGAAAAAAAAAACTCTTATTCTTAGATGAGCCTCTTTTAAATGGATGGGTATGCTCTTAAATTATTTTTAAGGCTTTCCTAAATAAGTTTAAAGTTTCTCTTCAGGTACTCCACAAAGAGCTCCATTCTGTGCATGTGCTGGTTGACATCCTCCCAGGAAACAGAGAGCTCTGCTCTGCACCGGTGCCACTCTATATCCGCTCACCACGAGAACCTAGAAAGCAAAGAAATCTACTTTACACCTGTGTGAAGAACCCAGCCCTATCTAAGCCAGACCTGACAGCAGTTCAGAGAGCTATATTCTTCATTAGTGTGTGCTCCCTTGAGGCATCAAACTCCCTCCCTTTCTCCTTTCCATCTACTTTGTTTTCAGTAAACCCCTTAATAGATCTGATGTCTATCTTGAGGGGTGTGGGCAAGAACCCTTTGCCTGTGATATTCTAATGAGTAAATGTTAGTTCTATTTGTTACAGCAGTTTTCACATAGGGCAAGTGTGCAAAAAGTTACTGAGGAAAACATCACATGGCCTGAAGATTGGCCTGGGACTGACTTCCCACATACTGACTCAATCCACTTTCCCCAGATCTCATTAATTCCCAAGATGTTTTGTCTAAGTCTTCCCGCCCCCCTCTTTTGGGTAGTTCATTTTGATGCCTTCTTTGGCTTAAAGACCTAGGATCTCCCTTGACCCTCCACTCAGTTTGCTCATCTTTCAGCTTCACCCACCACTCTGGATAAGCCACATCCATAGCAAATCCCTCATGCCCCTTAGAAAACTCAGGAAAATAGGAGTGATTCAAATATTTAAAGCTTTACAAATGTCATTATCTCAGCACAGGTTCTAATCCTTTTTTCATTCCTCCTCTCATCAACACCTTTTCCTTTCCTTCAAGGAATAAAATACCTATAAATTCATACCACCTCTTAGATCATTTTCTTAATCCACATACCCTTCTGCATCTTGAACCACCCTAACAGCTTATAGTTTTTGTGTTTTTTGGTGTAGGAGGCAGGCCTAGATAGTATGGCTAGGACCCCCCCCCCTTTCTTCCATTGTCCAATTTGCAATTCTTGATATTGGGAGGAGAGACAAAGGTATTTGTCTTGTAATCAAGAAAAGGAGGATAAGATGGGTCTCAGGAGATATGGGGAGCCAGAATCAAGGGAAAGAGTGTGTAGTGTTTTCTCTCAACCCTGTACCGTGGATGGGTTTGATTATTGGGTGTTTTGGACGGAGGGCACAGTCATTTTTGTTGGTGTTTTGGACAGAGGGCACAGTCATTTTTGTTAACGTGGGAACTAGGAATGCTCTTTTGGAATCCAGGTGACAAAGACTGGCATGAAATTGGGTTAAGGCAGCGGTTCTCAACCTGTGGGTCGCGACCCCTTTGGGGGTCGAACGACCCTTTCACAGGGGTGGCCTAAGACCATCGGAAAACACATATATAATTATATATTGTTTTGTGATTAATCACTATGCTTTCATTATGTTCAATTTGTAACAATGAAATTGGGGGTCACCACAACATGAGGAACTGTATTAAAGGGTCACAGCATTAGGAAGGTTGATAACCACTGGGTTAAGGTCTTTGTACATGGAACCTCACACTACTCTGGCACCCCAAGGAATGGTGGTTTGTAAGAACTGAGAGATAGCATCAGTGGCAGAGACTTGACTTCCACATAATGGATATCATCTTCAAGGGTTAACAGTGAGGTTCCTTAGAACAGCTTTGCAGGTAGCAGATGTTGCCAAAAGGAAACAGAGTATGAGAGAGAAAACATGGCAATCATGTAATGACTATAGCAGAAATGTTGATTGCAAACACCATTGCTCCACTCCCTTCACCTCACCCCTACACTTTGGAGACTCCCAGCAAAGTTGTAAGAAATACTGGAAGTCCCTTTAGCAAGCTGGGGTGGGAATGAAAACTATAGGTTCTTGATGTTAATAGACGGTGTATGTATCCACAGGCCGGTGAGGCCTAGAGGCAATTTGGTTAACTACATGTACTTGAATTCCCTTATATGTGCTTTTTAAATGTTTCTAGCTTTTTTTCTAAGTGTCTATTTTGAATCTGAATGTAAGTTCATTGAGAACAGAGATAATGTATTTTGTCTCTGTTTTTTTCTCTCTGAGACTTAAAAACTATGTTTGTCCTGTAGAAATCCCTTTGCTTCCATTTCATTCCATCTCCTTCCTTTATCAAACATCCACTGATGTGCAGGAATTGTTCTCCAGTAACCTTAACCACTGGGCCTTCTCTACCTTAAGTACTTAATGGAAACAACTTTATCCAAAGACAATTGCTTTGTTAGTGTCCAAATACTAGCATTTTATTTTTAATGTATAAATTGATTGAGTCACAAAGTATGACTGCTTCTTACCTGCTTTCATATCCAATAACTGGTATGCTCCGCAATACATTCTATAATGAATCTATATATCATTTAGTATATTTCATTTATAACATCCAAGAAATTTTATATTTTTAATTGTCAGCTCTACTTAATACATACTCTTTAAAATTATCTCATTCATATTATAATAATCACTTTACCTTATCAAAACAAGTATACATACAACACTATCACCAGACAATAATTCTGCTTCAAACATAGACAACATTGATTAATATTAACTTCAGGCAAGCCATAAGTAAGCAAAATTTCAGAGGGTGAGGTAATTGAATGTTTGGAAGTTGATTTACTCCCCCTCCTTTTAAATAAAAAACACACATTGCTTACAGTTTAACACACTTATTTTCTAATAGTCAGTACTTAAAATATCAGCCACATGTGCCAAAATTATAGTCTTTCTTCTTCTCATCTTCATGACCAATATTAATGGCCAAGAAATACTAGTAAACTACCACATCATAAGCCTGATACTAAACAAAATTTCTGCCTGTGTATTCAGCTGCCCACCCTTGGTAAGTAAATGAGCAGTACAGAACTTCTATTTACCCACATCCCCCACCAAATCAAAGGTTAAGAGTAAATAAAACATAGATGTCAAATATGTGATAGCTTTGCTTTCACTTTACATCAAAGAAACCTACCGCCAATTGCTTATAACCTGTAATAAAACTGTAGGCAGCACACAAACAATGAACAGCTTAACAGATCAGCTGCATGAACTTTTGCTTTGAGAATTCATTGTACAATTGTCATTCTTCTCTCCTTTCACTTCATGTTGTTTTGCAGCATGTCATTTTGCTGCCAGTGGTTTTTTAATACATGTTATTTCACTTCTTATTATTTCATGTCTAATTTCTTTATTCCTTCTAATGTCATGTTTTTTTTTTTTCATTTCTTGTTACACGTTATGTTGCTTTGTTGCAGATGGCGCACTTCATGTCAGTTTATTGCATTTTTAAGTAATAAGATCAGGAAAGCTCTGAAATATATATTTCTCCTGATCTCTTTGATACTCTTCCTGGGCTGTCTGCAGCTTTCGACCTTTCAGCCTCCACTTGTGGAAACAGTACGTCACAAAGGAAGTCATTACCAATGAGAAAATAATCATCAACACTATTATCAAGGCTACTGTGGAGGAAAGGGGAGCCTCCAGATGGGTGACTTCAGCCTGTATGGTTGCATTCAGCTTATCAACATTCTCAGAGTCCTCAGAAGTCCAGAAGGTAGGCATGAATCCTAAATTGAAGGGTGATCTCACTGGAAAAAAACAACAATGAAACTGTTCCCCTCACAGCTTCCTGGTTTGAAGATGGTGCAGAAGAGTGGACTTGGATTCTCTGTTCAGGAAAATGGCAGCAACCTCCACTAGGTGGCCTCAGGATCTGGTTTTGAAGAGAGTGGAGTCAACTTTCCATTAATATTGGACTACTGAAATTAACTTTCTTAAAAGTTTTAAAACCCCAAGAGTGACTGCAGCATACACAAGACACAGGCAGTTCATTGATTAAGTAGAACAGGGTATATTCATGATATTTTAAGAGATATCAGCAGAACCCTGTCTCCTTTCTTTTGGATGTTAATACTCATAGACTTTGACAAGGACTTTCCTTAAAGGCTCTTTAATGAGAAACTAAGCATTTTCTAAAATTATAGAAAATTGGGCACCTATAAAAATAAACCAGGCCCAAATAGTATGTATTTGGTAAACATTTTAACTCTAGTTAAAGGACCATATTATCTGAAAGACAAGGTAAAATAGTCATTTTGGAAACACACCAACCCACATAACCTGTGGCACACAAAAGCACAGTACTATTTTCAACCTCCATTCTAGAGTAGTTCCCTTGAGTGGCTGGTTTCAGTGTGAGAAGTGTAATGATGGAGTTAATCTAGAACAACAAATTTTAAAATAATGTATGCTTAGAAAATACTTTATATTTTTCAAAAAATTGCTTATATACTGTCATTTTCATAATTACCACCTATCATTACCCCCAATACCTCTCTGTAACTCCACCTAAATTTGGACAGTCTGAGTAGTAGCTTTTGTTTATGGAATAACAACTCAAGCCATAATCATATTTCTTCTTTAAAGTTTTATTGATTTTTAGAGTGAGAGGAAGGGGGAGAGAGAGAAATATCTATGTGAGAAACCTCTATTGGTTACCTCCCTTATGCATCCTGACCAGGGATCAGGCCTGCAACCTGGGTATGTGCCCTGACCGGGAATCTAACCAGCAACCTTTTGGTGTATGGGAAGACTCTCAACCAACTGAGCCACACTGCCAGGGCAGTAATCAGTTTTTTAATGCGAATCTATAGCATAGTCCTCTCTGCAATGGAGAACTGACTGTGATTACTAATGAACTGTGTTATTAAGCACTTTCCAATTCTAACACACTCTTGTTTACTATAAATTGGCATACTATTATTATTAAAAGAAGTAAATTAAAGCTTTTCCCTAATCAGAAGCACATATGCTCCCACAATGTTAACTTTCAAAATAATTTAAATGCTGGGTTTTAGAGAAGCTTTAGGGCAAGAAAAATGGTACACCTTGATAAAAAGATGGTGAAAGGTTAACGTGGTGGTATACAAGCAAGTTAAATAGCCATCTCAGACGGTGGATAAAGAAAATTTGAATTTATTTAAGGAAAGGAGATGGGGGATGGGATATCCAAAGGGAAGGGCTGCATAGCACTGAGCCAAGGGAATATTAGGTTGATGATGGCAGCACCCAGGAGCTGGAATTTTATCCTTATATGTAGTCACTGGCTGGAAGCTCTTGTCAGTAGGTCTTGGGGTTGAGTTGGTGGGCTTGAAATATGGATGGAAAGTGAATGTGTGATTAGGTGTTTTTAGGACAGTTTTAACTCCTTATATGGTCTGTTCCTGGTGTCCAGCAAGTTTTTCTGGTCTTTGTCCTCCTGTGGCAGAAAGCTTGGACAAGTTTTTCTTGGCCTTTGTTCTCCTGTGGCAGGAGGCTTACAAATGGCTGTTAAGGATTATATTGGCCTATAGTCCAAACAGATAGGATAGAAGATTTAAGGGTACACACCTGAGAAATAGTTAAAGTTATGGAAATATAAACAAAATATAGTCAAAGTTCAAGATACAGGCAGTAAACATTATGTTCTACTGCCCAAAATGTACAACAAAGTGCAGAAGTGCTACAGAAAAATGTTCCCATTAGTGACTCTAAGATATAGCTCAGAATAATCTCCATTTTGAGCAATTTATTTGTTTTGGTGGGTGCCATTTGAAAAATGCAGCTTCTGATAGTTCCTTGATGAATATGGGGGCTATATTTTACTCACATTCAAAGAGTTCAATGACAACACCATTATGTCATTTGGATAAAATGATAAAAAACTGAAAATGAAAATGACAAGGTAAGTTCATCTTTTGAGAGAGGAGCTGGGGTTCCATTGCATTGCCTTTCAACAGCCCCTATGCCTTGTAACTTCTCCTTTTAAAGTGACCCACTTATCTTGGTAGAGCAAGGCAGGCAAAATGGAAGACTTACATTTCTCTTCTCTGGTTTGTGCAGATACCAGAGGGCAGAGATATTTTGAGGCCCTCTGTATGTTCTTCCCCCAAAAGGCCAATTTATTCTTTAAAGAACATAACCCACTCCCTTTCCAGATCTGTTTCTGGCTTCATTAGAGGGACCTGTGTAGTTGGAGACATATCTTGGAGTTTCATCAAGTCATAGAATCCTAGACTGCCATAGCTGGCAGAGTCTTTAAGCAGTTTCCCTTATTTTTCAGTTTAAAAGCCTGAGAATCCAACTAGGAAGATGGGAGACATGTTTAGCACTTTCAAAGTAATATTCTGCCTGCAGCAGAGAATGAAATACCAAGTTTCCAATACCAATTAAGTCATGGATTAAGATTCACTGTGAAGTACTTGTCTCGATTAGAGAGCTGCTGCTGAGCTTGCTTTGGCAACCAAGGGAAGTAGTGTGCTTCAGCAAACCCTTTTCAAATTACCTTTAAAAACTGTCCCCATTCATTAGTCAGAGTGAGACAGGCCAGTAAGCCAGGATAAGTAGAATAGGAAAACTGAGACAGATAGCTGAACAAACTGGCAGAGCAATTTACAGCAGATATAGAAATTCACATCCCTAGAGGTAACATCTAGGCCTCAGTTGTATTTAAGCTCCAGTTCCAGAAAAGCAGCAAAGCCAGGTGGACTACACCAGGACCAACAGCAATGACTAATGACTCCCTGCCTTGACACTGGCCAATCAGTGGAGACCATGACCCGGAAAGGACACACCTGGAAAGCTAATGAATATTCTGCTAAAACCCTCCCCTGAGACCTCCCCTAAAATTCCAGCCTACAAGAGAGATAAAAGCCTCAAAACAAAAAATTCAGCTCACCCTCTCCCTCTGGGTAACTGCCCCTGTCATTTCCTTCCCCCTATTCTTTCCTCTCTTCATGCCCCTAGGAATATATCTCCTAAACTCTATTTCCCCAAGAGACTTGCAACCAGGGGAGTAATGGGTAGTGGCAGCTCAGACTACTACTCTGAATCTGTTCCCAAGGCCCCCTTTTCTCTGACTTTCCAGAGAGCTAAGGAAGCCCAGCCTAGGCTCTCCTGTTGCTGCTTCCTTGTTCATTCATGTGATTTGACAGTGGCATGGAATAGCCCACAGAAGGAAAATAAACCCAGAGCCCTACCTTGTTGTAATGTTCCCGGCTTTAGTAAATTTCTTCTAAAATTCACCTGGACTAGTGCTGTGAAATTCTTCCTGCACAAAGTCAAGAACCCACACACTATTGGTTGGCCCTAAGCAGACCTGCTCAGGGCCAGGTCCCCTTTCCGATAACAAGAGCAGTCTTGGGTTCATGGAAGCAGATCTTATTGGCTGTGCAATCTAGTTTGTGGCCAAGAGCTAGTCACATCTTTTCTGTTCAACGGACCATGGAAATCATGGCAACCGATTTTGGCTCTATCAGGAGACTACAATCCGCAAAAGAATTTATGTCACCAGTTGTTCTGTGCCAGGGACAGCTTATCAGATGGTGGTTTCTACAACAGAATAACCTCTTCTCCATTTATAATATCTTCAATTAAAATAACAAGCTCATTAAGATTAAAGTAGCCTGGCCCACATGGCTCAGTGGTTAAGCGTCAACCTATGAACAAGGAGGTCACAGTTCTATTCTCGGTCAGGACACATGCCCGGGTTTCGAGCTCGATCCCCAGTGTAGGGCTTGCAGGAGGCAACCAATCAATAATTCTCTCTCATCAGTGATGTTTCTATCTCTCCCTCTCTGAAAATAATAGAAATATATATTTTTAAAAGATTAAGACATTTTTTCTCAGAAAAAACGGCAAAAAAAACCCCCAAATAAACAAAAAAAGGTCCCCATTTAACTATCTGCCCAGACCCCATCTTTGCCCTCAAAAACCGGAATCTTATTATTGTAATGGAGTAGCCCACAGAAGGAAAATAAACCCAGAGTTCCTTCTCTTTTCCATGCCACTGTCAAATCACATGAATGAACAATTATTTATATCAGGAGGGGCTTTCATAATTAGTTATACAAGTCATTCACTAAAAGTACAGATTTGGTTTTGGATAACAGAAGAAATATAATGAAATTTTAAATGAGCCAATTAGTGATTTTATTATGTCTATGCAATGTCCTGTCCCATTTCCTCTGTTTAGCCAAGTTTAAACTCTAAAGAGAAATTCCAAGAAAAAGAGAATGAGGGTGGGAGTGGGGTAATTGAAGGCCTCAGATTTATTCCTTGATTTCAACAAAAACTCATGTAACTAAAGTGTGTGTGTGTGTGTGTGCGTGTGTGTGTGTGTGTGTGTGTGTGTGTGTGTGTGTGTGTTTTGCATACAAACAGAGGATACAGAGGGGTGGGATTCAGCTACAGAAATATAGAAGGCCTCCAGCTTCCTTGCTTCAGTACCCTGCCTCAGGTACCATTTTGAAAGTGAGTCCTATCAGTGTAGGTATCACATGTTCAAGTCAATTAGGTTGTTCTTTTCTCATTCTTGAAATCCAGCATTTGAAGTTTCCAGAAACTTTGTGAAACCAACTCAAATTGATCACTTACTAGTGCCTCTAAGGATATGCTCTGGTCTTCACTCCCTTCTTTCATTCTCTTCTTCTATACCCTATGACTCCTCCCCAAGGAAAAATAGCTCCCATACTGTTTATGAATAGATGAGCAAGAAAAAATAAAAAAGGAAACAGAAAACAAGACTCCATGGCCTAGCCTTAGCCAGTTTGGCTCAGTGGACAGAGTGTCGGCCCTAGGACTTAAGGGTCCCCAGTTCAATTCCGGTCAAGGACACATACCTCAGTTGCAGGCTCTATCCCAACCCTGGTTGGGGCATGTGCTGGAGGCAACCAATCCATGTATCTCTCTCACATTGATGTTTGTCTCTCTCTGCCTCTCCCCCTTTCTCTGAAAATCAATGGAAAAATATCCTCGGGTGAGGATTAATATGGGGGGGAATAGCCCCTGAATTGAAAAACAAAACAAAAAAATACACAAAACTCCATGGCCTAAAACTTTCTCTTTTATATATGTTTGTAAGAGTAATTGGTGGTTATTATGTGTCTGTTTTAATTTTACTTAAGCATAGGTGGTAATAAAAAATGTCTTTCACCTAACCTGGGACTAAAAAGATTTTCAAATGCAAATATTAAAACAAAAACATAAAATATGGCTACCCTTAAAGCAGCCTAGCACTAAAGTATTAAGTCTGCAGTCAAGTTTTCTAGGGCTACAGTTCTCTAAGGTAGTGCTGCTAAGGAGGAGCAGGTACTAGCACACTACTTACTTCAGTAGTCTGATGTTGAGCTAGTCTTCACTTAAAGCCACTAGAAAGGAAGATGGGACAGCCAGGGTTGCATTGCAGGTCTGTACATGGTTAGGGACCATCTTTGAAAACCACACGTTGAAAATTACTGTCACCTCTTTATTCTTCCACAACAATCTGTAAATCTATTTCCTTACCTAAGTCTAGATATATTGCTTTAGCAGATCAATTCCCTCCCCAACCCAAAATTAGCTTCTGACTGTACCATAAGAGTGTGTGTGTGTGTGTGTGTGTGTGTGTGTGTGTGTGTATCCTTCTTATGAACAGAGCCCTGCATCTCTGACTAACCTAAATCCCACTTTATACAGGAGTAGAAACTGAGGTGGGGCAGTGGCTCCATAACTATAATGGTTACCTATCTGTCCCACCAGGCCATGTCACTGAACTGTCATTTCTTTTTGAATCCCAGCTCAAGCCCTAGTCATGGTTAGAGTCTTAATAGTTACTTGTTGATGGAAAATGGAGGTGATGGGTACTACGAGAGAAAAATTATTACCACTCCCAAGTCAAGGAATTGAAAGTGCATTGATAACTGGGGTAGAATAAGATATTTTTTAATATATTTTATTGACTTTTTACAGAGAGGGAGAGAGAGGGATAGAGAGTTAGAAATATTGATCAGCTGCCTCCTGCACACTCCCTACTGGGTGTGCCCACAACCAAGGTACATGCCCTTGACTGGAATTGAACCTGGAACCCTTCAGTCTGCAGGCCGATGCTCTATCCACTGAGCCAAAACGGTTGGGTCTAGACTCTAGAATAAGATATTTGCTTTCAAGATAGGAAGATAGGAGTACTATACTGTCCTAGCCTAGTGAAGGTAATGAGGAAGGATGGGGGCACAGTCTAGGATTCAAAAGGAGGAAAGAACTGGGGCTTATAACCTTCCCTAGCTCTACCCTTCCCAGGGTACCTTAGGTCCAATACAGGTGGCCTAGACTCAGAGCACTATTCTCCCCTTCAGGCTTCCATCTTCTGGGCCATTCAGATGGTTGGTGCAGCTGCTACTGCTGTCAGAGGAAGATGCCAGTATGGATGAAAAGGGGCCACATGCTAACTTGGCTAGCTAAAGTAACCACAAAGGATAGTCTGAAACGAAAACTTTTTTTAAACTAAAAGCAGTTTATGGTGGGTAGTCATGTCCTAAGGCAGTATTTTTCCCTAACAAAGGTTAATCTTCACTTTAACTAAATCTGTCCATTTGTCTTTTTGCATCTAAGGTAACATGCCCGATTAACATGCCTTTGCAAAAACAAAGTAATTTCCTTTTTTCTGGATGCCTCAAAGTACAGGCACCTCTCTGTGGAGACCACAAATCCCCTCATTGTTACTGAGTTAATTGTTGACTGTTAAACTATCCTGTACCTACCTAAGTAAAAGAAGTTATGTATCTATCATTTTACTCTTTATCCATTCTCAGAGGTTTCTCCCACCTCCCTAATCTATCACCAATGGGTTTCATGTAGCCCAGAGAGGGAGAGAGAGAAACATCCATGATGAGAGAGAATCATTGATCAGCTGCCTTCTGCACACTGGGGATTGAGCCCGCAACCTGGGCATGAGCCCTGACTGGTAATAGAACTGTGACCCCCTGGTTCATAGGTCGATGCTCAACCACTGAGCCATGCAGGCCTGGCCTCTCCTCTTTTGATTATAATGTATAAAACAAGATGCAAAACTGTCATTCTCCAGAGCATTATCTCAATCCTGTTGAGATTCTGCTTCCCTGCAATTGTCAACAGTTTGGCTCAAATAAACTCACAAAAATTCTTCACAAGTTTGAATGTTTCTTATGTTAAAACCAGATAAGGATCTGGAATGAATAAATGCCATCTTTTACCTAGGCCAGTATGTTTACCTGCTCTGCTCTACCACACCCCACCCCACTTCACCCCTCCCTCAATGTGAGATGAAACCTGTGTCTCAAAAGCACTCTCAGGTTCTGGCTGGGGGGGATCACTGCCCCTGGGCTCCCGGAGGGTTGTCCACCCCCATTCCAGGTGGGGCATGGTCTCTCAGCTGTTACCTCAAGGACTGTATTGGGATAGAGGGCCCTCCTGAATTTAGATTGGAGGCTTGGCAACCGCTGGATGACAGAATTCCGGCGGCATCACGGACCACTACTGCCCTTCTCTTCCCTGCCCCCTCCCTTTCTCCCAGGCATCCCAGAGCAGACGCATCTTGGGAAGGGGTGGCCAGGAGGAGCCTAGGCACTCTGGGAACCCTTATCAAGCAAGTTTGGGTCCCACCGCCACACGTAAGGCCCAGGAATCCGATTGGACACCCGCCCAATTGGAAGGAACCGGCAGCTCTGCGGTAGGGCCTTTCGACCCAAGCTCTGTCTACAGCTGCAGCTGGATCCGCAGCCGGTGCCAGGGGAGTGAGTGCCCCAGAGATAAGCTCCAGACCCGCCCCCATATGTCGGTCCCCTCCGCATTTTTAAAAAGGCCTCTGCCCCACCCAGCGGGCTCTAATGCCTTGCCTCAAGTCCGCAGTCCTCCGCACCGGTGCGCCAGCCTTTCCGCCATTGTCTTTTCCGCGCTTTCAGCAGCATTACTAGCTGGAATCAGCGCGAGCCTGAGCCTAGTTCTTGCAAATGAGGAAACTGAGGTTTAGAGAGGTTAAGGAAGCCTCTTCTCTCAAGGTTATACTGCAAGGCTGAGGCTGGGTTGAGGAGAAACCCCAGGTAGGCTTTTGGACTCCCAGTACACAGCACTTTTCCCATGGAGTCCAACGCCACCTCCCTGAAGCCTCAAGCTCTCAGCAGTCCCCACACGCACAAACCGGATCCATCCTTACAAGTGTTTCTTAAAGCATAAAACTCGCTCTTTACCGCTAGACTCCCGCTCCCTCCAGCCCAGCTCTTTTCGTCAAAGCCAAAGCCCCACCACCCACCCATGCACCTTTTCATCTGATGGGTGAGCGGGGCTTACTACCTGTGCAGTTCATGTAATAGGCACTGAGCTGGGCTCTGGATGACGGCTCTGATCCGAGGGTGCAGGGCTGTGTGTGTTGGAGGGTGGCGAGATGCCAACAGGGGGACTGCTGCAGCTAGAGAAGCTCACTCTTGGTGCCGACTCCCTCAGCAACTGAGCGCAGCCTAGAAATGTTTCAACTTTATTTAGGGGAAGGTGGTCACGTGGGCGCACCCAAGAAAGGGGAAACCAGGCGAATGAAATGAGGTCAAGGCGTCCTGGCTGCTTCTGCCCTGCCCCTCCCCGCCACTGCTAGCCAGAAAGCGGGGCACGGACTTCAATCGGGGCAGGAGAGACTAGTTTATTCCAAGCTTTTGCCCATTAGGAAGTGAAGAAACAAGTTGAGATTGGGGCAACAACCGGTTGACAACCTCCAGGCTCTGGAGAGAAGCGCATCCATCTGGGTGGACCTTAACAACGGGCACCCTGGTGTAATTCGTTGTTTTATCCCTGTGTCTAAAAGGGTGCCTGACATAAAGAGGGCACTGGGTAACTGCTGGTTGAATTGGAAAGAATTTTCAGCATAGGTGCCCTCTGCCTGGGAGCTTTGGACGTCCCTTGCGGTTCCTGGAATCTTTACTATCCTGTACCTCTCTTTCTGAACTTAACCAAACATTGTTATAGGCGGTGGAAGGGCAGGAGGTGTTAGACCAGTGGGGTCAGATCAAACCTGGGTCCAGAAACCTCAGTACTTGAGTTTTGGTTAGGAAAAAATTCAGAGCCAAGACTCAAACTATAAGAGAACATGTGTTTATAAAATCACAAAGGTAGAATAAGTAATTTGTAGAAGACATGGGCTTAGGAAATAAGTTATAGAGGTAAAGGAAGGGCCCTTGGAGCTTGGGACTGAGGAAAGTAATGGTAACAAACCTAGGGACAGGAAAGAGGTAAGGGAAAGGTAGGGGTATCTCCCAGAAGAGAGAGGCGCTGGGTCCTCCATCCTGAGGGTCTTAATGATGAAGATTTTAGGGGAGGTCCCAGGGGAAGATCTTAATAGAATATTCAGCAGTTTTCCAGATGTCCTTTTCAGGGTCTAGGTATCCACTGGTTGATTGGTCATTGCCAAGGAAGAGGGTCACTATCCAAATGCAGCGGATTCTGAAGTCACCTGTGGCTGCTTTTGTTTCCTTTCTGGGTTTGGAGCTGAAATACAATAGAAACCTAGATATTATCTCTAAGGAGGAAAGGTCAGGGGATCCAAACTGCATGACCATGGATATGTTAGGGGAGGAATGGTCACCCTAGGGGTGAGGTCCCACGCTACAATTTGTCCTTTGTTAGGCATTTGGGGCTTTCAGCCCTGGTGACCTTCTTTCGGTACCTGGCCCATTGTCCTTGCTCTGATCATGTCTGTATAATAAATTGACTACCACAGTCTCACGTTGAAGGTACCCTTCCCCTTTCTATTCCTCTCAGCAGTGTCCAATTCCTGAGATTCTGTGTGGGCATGCTGAGATAAACATGACCAGTGGAATGAAGCACCAGCTAATCTCTTCAGGGTCCTAAAGCACTTTGTGTCCTCCTCTTTGTTTGTCAGGCTAAGGACTGAGACAGAGACAGATCATCAGAATCAGAGCAGACCTAGGGTTCAAGGCCTCCAACATCTTCAGTTTACAGAAAGACAACCCACAGCCCAAACCTCATTTCCTTACCCACCCAGCAGGGATCACTAATGCTCACCTTTAATGGAGCTCCTAATTTCATTGTTTCTAGATAATCTCAAACGATTGTTCCTGCAAAGATGCAAGAACAACATCTTAATTTAAGGAAAAAGATAGCTTTAGTAGGTGAGCCTCCTCAATACAAAGAAGGAAATATCTTTGATGGAGTTGGAATGGGGAGAAACTCAGCTCTTCCACTTTGTGAAATTGTGAAAATGCATATTTGGGAGGGTTAGGAATTCCAAACTTAATTTTATTCATTTGTCTATTACTGCTAAGGTACAGCTGATGGGAATGCAGATATCCATAGCATTCTATGGGTCATTTGATTTCACACCTTTATAGCCTGTAATCTTTTGTCTGAAGGCCACTGTGGATCCAAGCCACTTGTTATTTTTCAAACCTAAGATTTCTGAGACTGCTGGAGGTTCTCAGGTTTGACAAGACATCTATATGAGAGATCCTAAAGTCTCTGGAGACTCTAATGCAATATTGAATAAACTTCATTTCTAGAAAATTATTCATGTGGCTGATATTCTTGTGGTATGAATCTGGCAAAAGTGGCTCACACAACTGCTTCAGTAGCCACTGGTGATGAACAGTAATATTAGGAGAGGGAGACAGAGGCAGAAGACCTTGGGATATTTAATTTTAGTGCTGCTAATAAGAGGTATGCCTATGACCTTTAGGAATTTACTTTAGAAGAAATTGGACATGAAACAATAAAAAGTGAAATAAGATGAAATTTTAAAAAAACCCGCAAAAAAATGATATACTGCAAAACAGCATGAAGTGAAAGGAGAGGAGAAGAATGACAATTACACAATGAATTCTAAAAGCAAGAGTTCATGTTGTAGCTGATCATTGTTTGAAAGCTGCCTACACTTTTATTACAAATTATAAGCAATTTGGTGGTAGGTTTCTGTGTTTGTTGTTGTTTTGTTGTAAAGTGAAAGCAAAGCTATCACATATTTGACATCTACATTTTATTTAATCTTAACTTTCAATTTGGGGGGGGGGTGTGAGTAAATAGAAATTCTGTACTGTTCATTTACTTACCAAGGGTGAGCAGCTGAATACATAGAAATTTTGTTTAGTATCTGGCTCATGATGTGGTAGTTTATTAGTATTTCTTGGCCATTAATATTGGTCATAAAGATGAGAAGAAGAAAGTCTATAATCTTGGCACATGTGGCTGATATTTTAAGTACTGACTATTAGAAAATAAGTGTGTTGAATTGTAAGCAATGTGTGTGTGTGTGTGTGTGTGTTTTTATTTAAAAGGACGGAGGGGGAGAAAATCAACTCCCAAACATCCAATTACCCCAGAAGTTTTGCTTATTTATGTCTTGCCTGAAGTTAATATTAATGCTCTCTATGCTTGAAGCAGAATTATTATTTGATTATAATGCTATATGTTTACTTGTTTTGATAAGATAAAGTGGTCATTATAAAATGAATAGGATCATTTTAAGGAGTATGTGTTAAGTAGGGCTATAAACTTTATGATGGGTTACAGCTTCTGCTTTGTTCTATACAAGCCCTGAAGAAGATAGTTAGGTAACATAAGGGTATACGGTTATTTTTGTATTTCAGAAACTCAGCAAGTAAATGCTAGCATAATATGTTGAAAATCTTGTATGGACATACTTATAATAAAAAAGTACTTGTTGTTTATGTAAATAACAGTTTTTTTTCTTGGGATAGCTTATTTTTATTTGCTGTATCTGGTAACTCTTGCCCTGAACCACCATGTAACAAATCTGAATACCTGCTGGACATACCAGTGAGCTTTCCCTGAGACTACGTGGATAGAGAGAGGGACTCAGTTGATTCCAGCCTTCCAAATATCTCCTTCAAAGTACCAAACATATGAGTGAAGCTATCTTGGACCCTCCAGTGCAGCCTAGCTCCCAACAGAATACCACTGACTGACCTCAATTTGCACCTAAGGAGCAAAGAAATTGGCCATTCAAGCCCTGCCCAAATGACTCACTCACTAAGTCACTAGGCATAATAAAAGCTGTTGTTTTAAGCCACTAAGTTTTGGGGTGCTTTTTTATGCAGCAAGAAATAATTCCTATGAAGAAGATCAAAGTTGGAGGAATTGCTCCATTAGATATCATGATTCAGTTTAAACACATAATAACTAAGGCAGTGGGGTGTTGGTGTAGGAGTAGACAGAAAGGCTTTTAGATCAGAATAGGAGGCCCAGAAACAAAACAAGACATATGTGGACTATTAATGTATGACAGAAGTGGTATTCCAGATCAATGGGGAGGTGATGGAGTCTTCAATAAATGATGCTAGCACTATTTCCATATGGAAACACACACGCACACACACACACACACACACACACACACAGCAGGTACAGATCTAAATCTGAAAAGATAAACTTTAAATATTTTAGAAGAAAATATAGGAAACACCCTTTCTGATCTCCAGGAGAAAGAAGAATTACTGAAACAGGACACAAAATTCAGAAGGCATAGAGGAGAATACATTCAACAACTTTAAAGTCAGAACATTCTGTGCTGACAGATGAGCAAAGTACAATGACAATCCAATAGACTGGGAGAAGATATTTTTAACACATATAGTCAACAAAATAAATACTAAATATTAATGCTAATCAATAAAAAATCAATGTAGTATATAAATGGACAATGACAGGGATAGGCAATTAAAAGAGGAAAAATAGTGAATATCCAATAAATATAAGAAAAGACACCCAAAATCATTAGTAACCAGGGAAAGGACAGTTAAAATCACTGTGCATTAACCTTGCACCCCCTTTGGATTGATAAGCATTAAAAAGTCCTTAAATATTGAGTATAATGAGGATGCTTGGAAAATGGGTATTCTCTGACACAGCGGGTTGGGATACATTATGGTAAACCAATTTGGAAAGAATCTTGGCATCATCTGGTAAAGTTTTTAATGCCTTAGAAAAACTCTTGCACACATATATGAAAAGACATGTACAAGGATGCTGAGAGCAGCATTGTTTGAAATGGTGAAACAATTATAAACAATGTACATATTTATCAACGGAGGAATAAAATTGCAAATATAAATTGCTGTATATTGATTTGATGGGTTTTGATACAGCAGTAAAAATGAATGAGTTAGACCTACTCTTAAAAACAGGGAAAGGAAGGGACTGTTGGGGACTGTCTGACCGGGCTCCCCTGACTGGGAAGCCTCCACTGCTGCTGAAATCTCTCCCGGAGTAACCAGCTCTGCCATGGAGACCGCGCCATCTTGAAGGGGAGAGTGGCTGCTATCAGAAGCTTATACAGCCCGGGTCTCTACAACCACAAAACCTAGCAACAAGCTGTGAACCCAGGAACACTGGGTCTCTAGCAGCACAAATGCATGGACTCAGATGAGCTCTGCACCTTCTCACAGAAAGGTCAGATTTTGCCTAGGA